TGCTATCAGTGGTCTATAAACTTTATACTTCCATACTAGAAAGGAGACTCCGACGGATTGTGGAAGGGCAGTTAGAAGCGGAACAGGCTGGTTTTCGTCCAGGCCGACAGACGCAGGATCACATCTTTGTTCTCAGAAATATTGCTGAAAAAGCTTGGGACAGAGATAAAAATCTGTATCTTGCGTTCCTTGATCTGAAGTCAGCGTTTGATGTGGTTCCAAGAAAAGAAATTTGGAATGCCCTAATAGCCAAGGGTGTACCTGGAGACTTGCTGGCGGCCATACAGTCAGCCTATCAAGGAGCCATGGCAGTGGTAAGGATGAACGGTATGGAATCGGAACCTTTTCCAATTGCGAGAGGAGTTAGACAGGGAGATAGCTTAAGTCCCCTTCTATTTATAAATGTAATGGATGAAATCCACAAAATCTGTAAACGCCGAACTGCGTGGACAACAATTGGGAAGTGGAATCTGAGAACTGTCCTCATACAAAGCCTTCTATACGCGGATGACATAGTCCTAATAGCCGACACAAAGACCAAACTACAACAAGCTTTGGTAGAGTGGGAGGAAGAGTTGCTCAGGAAAGGGATGCAAATTAACACCTCCAAGAGTAAAGTGCTGGTTATGACGAGGGAAGAGCGAGAAGATGTTCAGCTGATCTGCAATGGCGAGACACTTGAGGTGGTGACTGAATATACCTACCTGGGGACCGTAATTAGTAGTTCTGGTAAGATAGACGCCGAAATATCAAGTAGAATATGTAAGGCGAATCAGGTATATTACCAGACTACTAATAGCATTATCGGCCATCGTGAAGTAGACAAGAAGACCAAAATGCACGTATATAAGTCTGTTTACCTACCTACACTCACCTACGGCGGAGAAAGCTGGACAATGCTAGACAGGCACTCTAGTCGCATAACGGCAGCAGAAATGAGGTTCCTTCGCAGATCTGTTGGCAGAACTAGAAGGGATCGCATTAGGAATGAAAGCATTAGAGAGCAGCTAGGAGTTGCCGAACTTAAAACTACTTTAGAAAGACGGCAACTCCAGTGGTTTGGACACGTCTGCCGCATGAATGAGAATTTGAATCCTATAAGGATATTAGAGGCTCGACCCACAGGAAGGAGACCACGCGGACGCCCCAGACTCACGTTCCAGGATTACATTCAAAGGATTGGATGTAAAAGAGGCAAAACCCTTAATGAGATGAAGCGACTAAGCAGGGACCGGGAAGAGTGGCTGCACTGGTTGAGGCTCCTCGACGCTAATTAATGGCATAAGAGGAAGACAAAGAAGAAGAAGATACATTCCCATCCCTCTCAGCAATTTCACATGGCGTCCCTCCATCTCGGTGCAGGATATTAGGATGTGTTTGGCCGTCTCAGGGAATCCGCAGGGAGGGCACCGGGAGTCGATATTCTTTCCATGGGCAGCAAGTTTTCCCCAGGATCCTCCATGTCCTGTGAGATCCAGTAATCAGGGAGGACCTATACCGCATCTAATCTTGCCTGGACGGTGGGGAAAAATTTTCTGAGGGTAGATCCTTTCAGGCTGGTCACCCACTGTCTGTTACACTCTTCAATGGACTCTTCCCTGATAATCCTTTTCCACTGGTCCGGGTTCTCACCGATTCTCTCACGGAGTCCCTCCGTGTCCAGCCCCTGTCTCTTGAAGTGGAATTTGGTGGTATCCTCCTTCAGGATTAGTTCCAGGGGCATCGCTCCGGCCAGCACCTGCACCGCTTCGTGGAACACCGTCTTATAGGCCTTTGTTGTCCTCAGCAGGGCAAGTCTCTGGATGGTGGCCATCTTCCTCTTCTGGATCTCATCCAGACGGCAGTTCCACGCTGAGGATGCATATCTCAGTATACCCAGTACGACTTCCTCATAGATGACGTCCGTGGCTGGATACCAGAGGCCCCAAAAAGGACCCCCTATCCTTGTCAGGCCATTCAGTGACAGGGTCACCCTATTCCACAGGTGTTCAATCAGGGGAGAGACATTGAACTTCATCTTGAACCTCACGCCTAGGTAGGTAACCTCCTCACCCAGGCAGACTCTCTCCCTTCTGTCTCTAAGGCTGATAGGGTGAGCCCTTTCAGCAACATGGCCTGAGTCTTTGCCCCCGCCATCTTCATTTGCTTCTTTCCACACCATCCTTCGACAGTGGTGGCGCACCTCTCTCCTTCCACCACCAATCTCGCCCTGCTGTTCGCTGCCACAACAAAGGCCAGGTCATCCACGTATGCTACGTCACCGAAGCCTGCTACCTCCAGTTCCCCCAGCAATTGGTCGAACACCAACTTCCACAGGGCCGGTCCCAGAACTGAGCCCTGTGGGCATCCTCTTTCTATTTCTTGCTCAACCTTATAGAAGGTACCCCTTATTTTTACTCTCCTGTTGCTGAGGTACCCCCTAATGAGGGAGTATAAGTTGTTGGGGGTATCAAACATTGCTGGATGCGCTGAAATGTGCAGGGCCACCATACACTATCAAAGGCGGAAGATATGTCAAACAGGACCATCATGACATACCTCTCCGCCCTGCCATCCATGTCCCTGAGATTCCATTCGGGCATCTCCGGTGTCAAGCTCTTTCGTAGATCTGTACTGCCTCGGGTGACTTGCTGCCAAACTAGTGACAGACTCTTCACTATGAGGTGCTCCAGGACTTTACTCAAAACAGGGAGGAGGCATATCGGCCTATATGACTTCGATAATTCCTTGTCCTTGTCTCCCCTGCTGTATAAGTACAGCAGTCTGAGGTCGGCGCTCTTCCATTGTGTTGGGAAGTGCACCCTATCCAAACAAGCATTCATTATTTCTAGTATCTCTTCTTCTATGTAGGAGGCACTCATCTTTAGGATCGCCGCACCAATGGCATCGAGTCCTGGAGCTCTTTCAATCCTTTGCCTGTCTATCACCATCCGCAGGTCCCATTCATCCCATGGTGGAATAAACTCAGTACCAGGCGGTTATTCTGTTGCCTGTCGCAGAGCCTCATCTTTCTCGTTATCCTGGGACAGGTCATCCCTGGGGTACGTCTGATCTAGGTATCTTATAACAGTTTCTTTGTTGGTCCTCCTTCCGACCTTATCGCTGCCATCATTTGGGCCGGTCTAAGCTTATCCATAGCCACCCTGTATGGTATTTCCCAGGGATTCTTCTCATTTTCTTTTCTCATGAACTCATACCAGGACAACCTTTTCTGTTATCGCATTCCGGCCTTGTATTCCTCCCGGAGTGCCACCTTCCTGCCTTCGATCCTGCACTTTTGGTATCTCCGCCTAGCCCTATAGTACTCCTTTTTGAGCTCTGTTAACTCAGCATTCCACCATGGGACACTCTGTCTCCTTGTGTCTCTTGATTTCAGCGAGTCACCCGCTGCAGAATGTATGACTGGTCGGATCTCATATCAGACCTTATTGACCAGTCAGTAATCCTTCTCGACATTACAGGAGTAGCCAGAATAACATCAATCCAGCTTTGACCCCTTGCACCCACCTTTGTGGGTGCAAAGGGTTCGTTCATGATGGCAAGCTGGCAACTAGCCAGGCAGTCCTTGACTGTCATGCCCCTTGTGTCGGTTCTAACTGATCCCCAGGCCGTGCTCCACGAATCCGTGTCGAAGCAGACTACTACATTCCGGTACTGGAGCGCAACAGCTTCTAAGGCAGCAATGTGGTCTTCAATATTCTGTTTAGGCAGCATGTATTTGGACACCAGAACAAAGGTTACATCCCTTCATCTAAAATAACATGCTGCCTGTCATGTGCTGCCTCAGCTCTATTACGTCAAGGGTCGGGTCAAATATAACGATAGCTGCTCTGGGCCTCTTCTCTCCTCTGCCCAGTGCCACAACCCTTGATGTGACACCGAATCTGGCAACCATGTTTCTCTGGCACCACGGCTCCTGTACTGCCACTATGTCACAGTGCCGAGCCTTCTCTCTCAGATCTTCCACTACTATGCATCTTCTGCCCATGTTGAGCTGGACCAACCTTAGCTTATCCATACCTGGTTTTCTGGATCTGCGTCTTTATCTCCTGGAGGTTTACCGGGCAATTCCTGCTCCTGGCACAAAGTTCAGTGTCCTCATGTCTCTCTACCGTTCTGCAGTTCTTGCATTCGGGGAGGGAAAGAGGGGGGAGATTATTCTTCTTGTTGGGGCATTCCATCACCTTATGTCCCTTTCTCCCACACCATCGGCACGCAATTGATTTTTCACACTTGGCCATCATATGTCTGTAAGCCAGGCATTTTAGGCAGTGGGGGGACATCAAGATAGTCATAGTCATCTAGGGTCCACCACCCTCCTATAATCATCTCCCCTCTGAGGATGTCTCTTGCTGCGAGGTGAACCTCTATCACCCATTCTTAAGGCTGCCCCTGTCAGCCATTGAAAAACAAGGCCTGACCCAATCCTTGCCCTCTTCAGACCTCCCTGTTCCAATTTTTCCCATATGACCTTCTCTAGGGTGCTTTCGTCCCATTCCTTGGGGGCCCCTTTTACCTTTAGCTTTGGCCTCTTTGTTTTGGCCAGTCAAGACACAAGGCCTTTCTCTCCCATATTCTTCCATTTGATTAACTTCATTGCCTGGTCAGAACCTTTCGTTTTGACCAGGACTGCCTTGCCAGTGTGGGTAACTTTTACTATTTCTACCTCCACTCCTGCTTCCTTGTGCAGACTGTATCAGGTTAATATAATTGAGATGATTAAGTTGCGGCGAATAAAATGGGTATGTAAAATTACTGGGCTTAGTAATAAAAGAATCCCTAAAAATTTAATATGTACTGGCAAGTATCTGAGGGGTAGACCAAAGTGAAGGTGGGAAGATCGCGTTAAGGCTGATCTGGCGGGGTGGGATTTAGATGGTGAATGGTGGATGGAAGAATGTGGACATCGATTGGTGGTATTGGCATGGAACCTTCAGGTTTCCTAAACCTTATTATTATTATTATTTCTCTTTGTTTGCTAAATTAATTTTTTTTTTCAGGTAACTGAAAAATTTGAACTTTATGTTACATTAGATCCGTTGATATCAAAAGCATCAAGCACTGATGCAGTGGATAAATTAATTAGATGGATACAAAAAGAAGAAGATAAATTTTTTATTCCCCATGTGCCAAATTTTTAATGCTGAATTGTAATAAAAAACATCTAATTATCCATTTCTGAATTATTATTTCTTTATTCCTTTCTGTCATAACCCAATAAACCAAATTTTAAATATTGCTGTAACCAATATAAGTTGCTTTATTATTTTACTTTTCTTCAAATATTTATAATGTTTAGATACTCAATAGTTGACAATTGTATAGTAAGAATAGAGATGATCATGAGTGGCAGTCAGAAAATAGCTTAAAATAGTAGAAACCATTTATTAAGCTTACATTTCAACCTAAATATGCAGGTCTTCACCAGAGATAGAAAGAACAATATGCAAAACTAGAATACTGTAATAGTTACAAGATATTAAGATAAAAAAAATTGAGAAAATAATTATCGGAGTAAATAAAAAGTATTAAGTACAATTCAAATATAAAATAAAGTAACTATAACAGTAAGTATAACAATCTCATAATATAGAATATAATAAATAATACTAAATATAATTAAAAATTTGTAACAATAAATATAGATAAGGAAATATTGAATAATTGGTAAATGGTTGACTGTCGTGGATAATGAAGAGAAGAATAGTTGGGGTGGTCAGTCAAAAAAGAAGGCAAAAATAAATGGTAATATTTATTTTAACATTTGCTGACGTTTCGACCTGAAGTTCAGGCCTTCATCAGGGCTAAGAAAAGAACCAGATAACAATGTATGAGAAACATAAAAATTACAGTAAAATGCTGTTGTTAGAATAATAACAATAGTAAGAACAAGAGATAAATAATAATACCCGGTACAAAGTGTGCAATTCTCCACAACTTTGTGATGGAGGAATTGAAGGTAAAGAAATATTCTGCAATATATTTTAGTGATCAAACAGTTTTCTTGTTTTGGTTTAAAATTAACAGATATAAATAAATATTTTAAGCTAGTCAATAGAGGTATTGTATGTTGCAAAATGTGAGGTAGGTGTTTTTACTTTTTAACTTGTACACAGGGGTGGAAACCTGAAAAATTTAATCAGCCAAAATCTATAACTCCTGAACATTGAGCCCTAGCGGAAAAGAAACAATTAAATAGCATTCGATTCTGCATTAAATGAATACTACAACATAATAATTCGGGTCAAACTATATGATCAAACAATGTTTGTTTAGGCAACTTTTACAATTATGGCAAAATAGCTCTCATGAGTTGCAATAAGGCAACATTCTGAATTTTATGGTAACATTCTAGTTTTTAAGCAGTGGACTGTATCTTAAGGGATTGGTAGGATAATGATTGTGCAAAAAAAATAGCTTACCATCTATATGCCAGATCTTTTTTACCTAGGAGGGCCCTCCGCCGTTGGTCCTTTCTGGTCAGGTAGTGGCTTGGAGTCTCTCTCAAAGCTTAAGTGTTATCTTTTAGATCTGCCCCCACCAATCGCCGTAACGCGGGAAATTTAACTAAAAACCATTGTTTTGCCAACCATATCCCCCACCGTGAAATATCTCATTTCACAAACAAAAAAAAGAAAAAACCAAAATCAAAGATTGATGATTACCGGGCAAGGCACAAACGAGAGAAAAATTGCTAGGCTAATAATTTACAATTGACTTAAAATAAAATGATTCCTCATTAAATTTAAACAAAAAATATACATATCAATAAAAAGTCTCTCTAGAAGGGCGAGGCACTAACTTGTGCACTGGTCGCACTAAAGTGGCTGTAACAGTCCTCAATTTTACAACCCTAACTACACTGCCGGGCCCTGGAAGTGTCTCTATTATCCTGGCAAGCCGCCACTCCTGCAATGGAACATCTTTTTCATGCAGAATTGCAAGGGTTTTAAATTTTCTCTATCAGTATACATACCACTTGTTGCGAGGCACCAGATGATGAAGGTATTCATTATTCCACCTCTTCCAAAAATTAAGAAGAGTCTTGGAAATCTCCCAACGACTTGTCAAAGGAAACACAGGTGCGTCTTCTTGTTCTGGTCTGGCTGGGAGGGGTTCACCTATAAGAAAGTGTCCTTGGGTAAGGTAATTCAGGTTAACCGATGGCTGACTGCTAATGTTGCAGATAGAAAGGGAATTGAGAACGGCTTCAACTCGTACAAGAAGAGTATAAAATTTCTAATAAGTTAAAGCATTGTCCTGGAGAACGGCAAGAAGGTGTCTCTTAGCAGATTTAATAGCTGCCTCCCAAATACCACCGAAATGAGAAGATGCTGAAGGAGTAAATGTCCAGTTTATACCCGTCTTACCCAAATAGTCAGAAATGGGTTCGCTCTGGCCCTTAACAAATTGACAAAGCTCCTTCAACTTCTTGGATACTCCAACGAAATTTGTTCCGCAGTCCCTATAAATATGAGAACGTTAGTTTCGGCAATGCGGATACACCTAAAACTCATCTTTATATCGCATGTTAAGGTCACAGGAAAGCATCTAAAATAATCTATAAGTTCCGCAATATCAGTCTGGAGCTGCGGATCGGTCAAAGTAAGTCATTGAGCGAGTTTCCTCCCACCATCTTCTCCGAACCATTAAATACGACTCTAAGTTTTGTCGTGGAAGAATCCTTAATGACTCCATGATGGGTCATGACGTATGGAGAAGGGTTCTTGGCGAGGCGGACATGATCCAATCTTATATATTCATCCATCTGAGCAGCATAGGAATACTTATATTCCGGATCTTTCCTAAATCTATTTTCCAGATTTCTAAATCTGCGTAGAGCTGTCTCTCTGGTGGAATCAAGATCAATCGGCTTGTCAGAACGGAACGGAAGCGAAACAACGAATCTACCCTGGAGATCACGGGTGCATGTATTTATAAAGTGATCTTCGCAAAATGCATCTTCAGGATTTGGTGAAATCGAAACTGTGACTTCCTCAGTCTTCCAAAATCGCTTTAATTCCTCCATTAAGAAAGGGCTGGTCTGCGTGAAAAAAGTACGTATAGAAGGTATGAGCTTTGGCTTTCCGAGAGGGTGTTCCGAAATAATACCCATCCTAATGAGGTATGAATTGCCTTTGGTTGACCCTTAAGAAATAGAACAAGGCCACTTAAAACCTCAGCAACATTGTATGGTGACTCCTTTTTCCACAAACTTGGCAACAACCCTAAACTTTGGCAATTCGGTAAGCGATGAGGTCCCGTACAAGAAAAGCATTAATCAGATTTCTTTAACAAGTCATAGTGACCATTAACGTCTGCATCCAAAAACTGAGAGCAATTTATAATTTTATGGCTTGATTTACAAACTGGGCACCCTAAATTAATTTTCTGTTTATCCGGTCTATTGTGATGGCTGGTTAAAAATGTTTTTCGCTGAACTTTAGGCTGGGTGGTTTTAGATGGCTCGGAACACATATCTGCGACTCTAAGTTGTGACCTAACAAACTTGGAAAATTATTCAAAATTAGGAACTGTCTCTTCGCTGAGACTATTCTCGAAGATTCTTCTTGTATTCGGGTCTACAACGTTAAGTCCAAGATGCAGCAAAAAAAAATCAGCGAGGTTGTGGAGTTTACGATTTTTTAAGGCGTTGTAATTATCCTCAAATGTATCCAGAAAGCTTCTGAAGTTGGTAGAATTAACAACCGAAAAGGATTTAAATCGTATAATCTTGTTGAGATGGTAGGCCGCAATTCTCCTTTTATTGCTGTAGCGCTTTACTAATTTATCATAGGCCAAGCTGTAATTTTCTGCATTAAACTCGATTGAAGAAATGTCCTGTGAAGCAGGATGAACCAAAAGTGATTTGAGGTATGAAAACTTTAGTATTTCTGTGTAATTTCGATGATGAATCAAGGCATGCGCTCAGCTTTAATTAATTTCGTGTGCGCAGCTTTTATTTCATAATAAATGTCTTTCGCCGCTAGAGATGGTGCGTTTACTTCAAGTCTATGTTCTTCATCTAATGATTCATTTAACACGGAAATTTTGTTCAAAACCGCTTCAAATTTCTCTAGTTGCTCTTTAATTTCTGAAGTCCTAACCATAAAAATTTCCTTTCTATCAGGGAGACCCTTAATCATATCATATGTAGTTTGAATTCGAAGAAACATCCTTTCTTTTCTATCATTTATAGCTTTAAGTCCCTCAGTACCCTTAGTCGGTGCCATCTTCAAAATTGTAGAGAGAAAAAAAAAATTCAAATCAAATTTCAATTTATGAAGGCAAAACCCAATTTTATTCAAACATTTTTTTTTATTGAGTATTATAACAATCTGTCTCTTGGACATTGGTTATAGTGAGGTAGGATGACATTCACACTATATGTACAAAAAAATAAAATAAATATAACAAAATAATAATCAAAAGTATATACAATAGATAATAAAATAAAATAACCTAAAAAATAAGAAAATTAAAACTAAGAAAAAAAAACACATGCGTACCTATATACAATCAGGCGAGGGAACTCCAGGAGAACCCTGCGCTACTCTCCCAACCGCGTCACTGGTACTAAAGCCAGCGGAGATTGGTCGAGAGCACTTTAGCCACAAACACTCATGTCTTGAGTGAAGAATCTGGCCATTGCCAGAACTCCAATTTATACAATCTACAAAAGGTCGCGAGGCCACTGCCGTTTTAACCTCTGGGGAGGATTGTAGGGATGGCTGGAGCTAGATAGGAATTGTGCTACAGGATTTGGATGATGAGTGTTAACGCCACAGCGTTAACTTACTTTATTTTTACAGTTAAAAACGCCACAGCGTTAATTCAATTTATTTTACACTTAACTAGTTTGATTAATTGTTGATTTGTTTTATTTTAGCAAAGTGAAATCAATTAATAATATGTATATTTATGTATAAGATAGGTGTATATTAAGTATTATAGGCCCATAGCTTATATTGTTTATATTAAATAAATCAATAGTCTATACTTGGACTACTTTGTTATGGATTGTAGTAGCACTAGCTATAAACAAGTGCTAGGTTCAAGTCATAAGGAGGTAGAATTGACAAGACAGTCTGACTCCGTCCGCCACTGAGCTGAGTACTGCCAACCAGTGTTACCGCGCGCTCTGTGACAAAACCTCGTACTCAAGCCTTGTACA